CTCATCAGACAGTATTTAATGATATAACTAGCTCTACACTTTTTATGTGTATTGAGCACTCTTTAATGGGATCAGCTACTTCTTCATACGATTATTATCATTTTTTAAATATTTATTCTGGCCATGACGAATTTGTCAGATCATGTACTGCTACCAGTTATATTAAAACAGACGTTCCTGTTTTCTCGATCAGATGTCGAAACTACTTGCTTATTAGGTCATCRGCCATCAACCACTTCCTATGACCGTCAGTAACACCTTCCGGTTGACGTCATTTCAAATGACGTCATGTTTGATTAAGCGAAGTGCATCATGGTACTGATGAAGAATCGAGATGGCCGATGTCTCATCTACACTATTACATCCAAAGAGCAGAAAGATAAACTATTCACCATATGTCGCGGTCGCGGTCCAGGGCATTGGGGACGGAGCACTAAAACGATGTTTAAGGCCGGCCACCGTACAGTAAACTTCGATGGTGTCTTGCAAGAGTGTTTTGTTTTAAGAAAAACATAAAACATCATTCAAACTTTTGAACTCTACATGCATTGAAGGGATTTCAAGGTGTGGGAATTGTCAGGGAGTTTTGATTTTGGTCAGGGAAATATACAATTTATCAAAAAGCCAGGAATTTTTGCCGAATTTTTCCTGGTCTTTGCCAAAAAAAGTGATTTCGCTTCTAAATGGTTCGTGCTTCAGCAAGCTATATTTATAGGACTAAAGATAATCCTGTCATCTGGTCATTGAAAAAAGGTTTTTGGTCAGGGAAAAGTCAGGGAATTTTACTTTTAAAGATGAGTGGGAACCCTGTTTTAGGTCTCGTTTCCATGATTCGTCACTAGTCCCCGATATAGGCGGACGTGAACTGGCGCCATTTTTGGAAGTCGTGTATAATAAGATATAAAGTAACAGCTTTAAATTTGTGTTTTTGTCTATCCCATGGTACATCTTGACGGATATCGCATGACGTCATTACGAGAGAGGTCCATTGTATGATTGCATCATTTTTGGGGATATTATGAAAGAATCTGTAAGAAAAACATCATTTCAATGTCAAGAATACTTATGGACTTTATCTTAAGTCTCTGAGGAGGTATTCACTGATTCGATAGAGATGTGGAAGATACAATACAAGAGCTTCATCATAAAGTCGATGGTTTCTCTCACCTTTTCATGACGCCACCATCCAGAAACTCTTTGCCTTGTTTGCGGTTGCTATTTTAGGAACTTATGTTCTATTTATTATCGCCAAATCTGCATAAATTTGCTTCGTATGATTTTAAGTTGAAAGAGACAGTTGAYACAAATGAGCGCAGTGAAACCACTGATCTTTTTTATCTTTAACATCGCAGAAAATGTGTTAAAGTAATCTTTGGACAAAATTGTTATATTTTAACTCCGTCGCTCGAAACTATCGATCAATAATGTAAAGCGAAGTTAGTTATATAGATATGTGCACCAGGTGACGCTAGGAATATGAATTAGACATTACTTTTTCGGGAATTATTTCCAAGTCATTGTCTTTCGCCCGGAATAACCTCCTTTACAAGCACAGAACTTTCTATTATTTCTAGTTCAAGCGAGTTATGGACGATTTTAAGTTCAATTTTCTCTTTTTAAACATTTGAGCTCATTTCCATCTACAATCATTGGCAAAATTCATGGGACAAAATATCTACTAAAACTTACTGACAATTTCCCACCTGTGACCCCACAATTACAATGTTGGGCTCGAAACAAACCCTCCTTCCATACCGAAACATTCCCGCCAACAACATTGTTAACCAACATTGACTGTGGGGGAAGGGGTGAGGGTTTGAGTGAGCATTTAAACAGCCCATAAGATAGTGCATCCGCAGTAATAGCGTTTTGTCCCATACAATTTTTTTTCATTTGTCCAGGTTTTTGTTTGTTTGTTTTTGTTTTTTTGTTTTGTTTTTGTTTTTTTTTGTTTTTTTGTTGTTTTTTTTTTTTTTTTTTTGCTTTAAGACTGTATAAAATTGCTAAATTGTACGAGTCTTGCTTTGATTAACAGCGAACAAACTGATGAACTATAGGAAAATGTGTCATCTTTTTGATTTGGCATTAAGTTTCATATTCCAAAGATTTTGTCTGCCAAGGAAGGGTGGGATCCGGAACCCCTGGAGCTCATGACGTCACACTCGAGCACTCTATATGCGCACTCTTAACCACTTATTCTCACAAGTTATCAATGTCACGCACTCGATSCCATCGTGTATGTGAATCAAGGTATCAAACTCACTGACTTTGAGTGATATTTAGGATCCTTATTCCAAGAATACTAAGCTGTTCATTAAAAAAGCAGTAGTCAACTTTAGATATTTTGGTTCGATGACTATGTACAAAAGAACGCACACGAGGCTCCGGGAAAACAATGGATAATCTTGATTTATTCTTTTATTTCCCCGGAGCCTCGTCTGCAATTCATTTGTGCATGGTCACTGAACCAAAATATCTAAAGTCAGCTATTGATCTAACTTCCTCCACAGGCATCACCAAGAATCACGGGCTTCCTGTCTTTTTGGGGAGTCACAAGAGGAAGAATGGGAGCGAGAGAGGGAAGGCGTTGCGTCACTAGTCCCTAGCGGCCAAGATGACCGTTAGGAAGGAAGTCAAAAGGAGGAAAAAGAGTTGCCTGGGGAAGAAGCTCCAATACTCCAATTTCGAGTTCTGGTTTGCTCTGTGTTAGCCTCAAAACCAAGTAACATATTCTTTTGTTCCATAGATAGCTCGAGAAAGCGCATAGAATTTTGTGAAGAAAGACAATAGAATTGATTTAAAATCTCACACTTTTATTCTCACAATTAGGAATATTTTGCGCACAAATGAGGCTAACACAGAGCACTGGAGAATTCGAAACTGGAGTATTCATCCTAAATGTTCCAGTTGGAAATTATGGTAAATGTGACATGATTTTTCCTCATTTTAAAGCCCGCTTTACTTTTTTTTTGTTTTGCTTTGTTTTTGTTTTGTTTTGTTTTGTTTTGTTTTGTTTTGTTTTGTTTTGTTTTGTTTTGTTTTGTTTTGTTTTGTTTTGTTTTGTTTTGTTTTGTTTTGTTTTGTTTTTTGTTGCTGTTTTTTTTATTTTCGGCGATTTTTGTGGTCATTTTGATCCTAGAGAATATTGCTAAAGAATTAACTTGTAAASTTTTATTCAGTACACTGAGATRAGCTAACTAACGTCTCCTYAGAAGSATATWAAGACAAAATCTATTATATTTTTGAAAATCASCTTACAAATTTCCGCAAAAATCGCCACTGTAAACGTGGCTTAGACCCGCCATATTTTAAGTCTAATCTGGTGAACAGCATAGCCCATACTATAGTCGATCCCGAATAATAATCTAGCAAAAGTGGTTACATATTACATAAAATTCATTATTATAAATCCTAAATTTGGCAGAAATACGTGGTTTTGAATGCTTCAGTTTTAAGGATGTCAAGGACTATAGATAAATCAGACGTGTACGGTTGACTTGGTTTCAGACGGAAAACAATCCTTTATTTTAAAAACATATGAAATAATTAGCGAAAGTATCAACCAAAGTATGGGCTATCGCAAATCCAGCATTTTTTAAAAAGCTATTAAAATTGGCTACTGAACTATGGTACATTTGTGATAGACCATKGTAGTATCGAATAAAGCGAAAATAGTCGAATACTAAAACAATTGGTGAATACTAAAGCAACTCGGTTTCGTGAGATGGAATATCAAATCTTTGTCTATTCGACCGCGCGGTGTCATTTTTTTTTTCCAATAAACCGCATCAATATTAAAACAATGGACTATTCTAAAGCTTGTGGCTAAGATTTTTTAAAAGCTCACTCAAGAATTTCAGTCGAAAGTGGCTGTTCTTGGGTTATWTATCACTCAATTTTTTTGTAATTTTGTACCTCGTGTCAACGATTTGACAACAAGTACCAGTACCAGTTCGAGTACCAATTGTCATTGATCGTGAATTGCATTTCTGTAGATCGATTGAGACGTCAAAGAAGTAAAAACAAGAGRTGATCTGAAATCAAGGTATCAAAAAACAAAAGACACATTTTGACACTCGCAGTCATACTGAAACTCGTACTCGTTGTCAAATCTAAAGTTCCCTAATGCAGTACTTGCAAGTGTCACAGCAAACACACTGGAAAAAATCGCACTCTTTAAAAAGTTGTAAATTTGATAAATATTTTACATATTAAAAAAAATTAAATATTATGTAAGTGTCCGAGAACCTTTGCGTGATTTTCCCTCTTTGTATGTTTAATCGACACTATTTAGTAGTAATTCTACTATTTTCACGTCCACTGTACAAGCTCAGAAGATTGCAAACTCAGAAAGCGTGAAAAACTAGAGTGAGATCATAAACCTGTGAAACAAAATTGACTATTGAAGTGTGAAAGTCAAATAGCTACAGGAAGAAGAATTAGAGAGTACCTGTTTTTTGACTTCATTCTAACAGTATAGTGACAAACAACGCGATATAGTGTAGATTAGACTATAGTGAACAAAGAAATTCTAACAATCCAGGACAATTTAGCACTATTTACTAAATTTTCACGACTAATTTTTCCACCCTTGCATTTCAATTCTCATTTCAATTTTAGGCGACTGAGGTGAATGGCTCTATAGAGTTCGCGTTTCAAGTGTTCTTCCTCTCGGCCTACGGGTAGGCATTGACAAACTTGATAATAACGCGTTTTGGTATCCAACTTCTTAAAATGTCAGCATCCCGGCTTCGTGCTCTGAAACACAGCTTTTTTCAGTTTTATAAGGACCAAGACAAGATCCATATTCAAATATTTACAACTAAAAGTACGGGTAGTCTCTGTTTGCGAACAAGGAAACGCTGTGTTTTTAACCTTTTCTATTTATTAATTCATATTTCCCATGTGCTTCTGTCGCGAACAAAGCAACAACAGAAAAAAAACATTTAAAGTACATAACTATGGTCGATAGGCGCCTTCTTTGTCACCATTATAAAGGATTTGCCGCTCAAACACAACCATTTTTAAACCCTGAAATTATTGAGGCAGCTGTCTTTTAAAGTATTTAAATTTATCACCTTTCGTCAACTGAGCATGAAAGTCAGATATGCAAATTAAGTCGTGGTCTGTTATAGCCATAAAATTTTTACTGAGGTTCAGGCAGTTGGATGGAAACGTCCGTTATAATGTCGCTCTTCTGTAGCTCTTCTTCGCCTTAGAGGTTAGTCACTCAGTAATTCTTTTAGACCTGAAATCGTAAATATGATGTACATTCGTCCAAACTGGATCTTCGCCATATCAAGCGACTGAAAATCTAGATATGAAAAATCGTGCCGCGCAAATTTGACGGAGATATTGACGTCTTGAAAACGGCATGAAATCTCCTTTTATTCGGAAGAGATTTCCATTTCGTATTTCTACAATTCTGAATTTAAAATTGAAGTTTTATTTCAGCTTGGTCGCTTTCAGATTCGATTTGAGCCATTAAGCTGATGTGTTTCCTCCTTCGGCGAGACCAAATGCATTATTTTATAATTTAACAKTCGTAATTGTCAAACCATATTTCTAACGAGTTTTTTCTTGGTTACTTAAAAAAGTTTGCTTAAATGTAATGTTCATTCAATGTTAGGTAAAGAAAATGTTATTTTTATTGTTTTATTATAATTTCTGTCAAATGCCAAATCGAAAATAAATTATGACGTAAAGTTTTCTCTTTTTTGGCGTTCTCGCATTTTTCTATTTTGCAATTTACTAGTACATTAAGATTAYATAAGAAACCACATTTTTGGAGTCCATRTATTCTTATTCAACAAGCACTAAATGAAAAATCTACCTGACCGTGTTCTTAAGCTTTAGTTTAAATTAAAGTTTCTGATGTATCTACAGACATGCTCTCAATGCTTGCTGCAAAAAGGTGTTCTCKCGGCACACATTGAGCGACACATATAAAATAATAATAATAAAAATTATAAAACAGTATTCCATCATGATATTTCAATCGAAACTTTTGTAAACATACATGCAAAATGTACATCGAATTCAGATGAAAACCTTTATCTGTTATTATTTAAACAATTCTTTCATATTCATACGTCTGAAGACCAATAGCGTTGAGTGTATATTAATGTTAAGAAAAGAGAACATTTACTAGGAAGCTCAACCGCAACTGCTTTAAAAGATAATAAAACCTCACCGAATACATTTTTAATTGCACCGCTTGAGGAAGAAATGAATAAATAAAACAAACCGAGGCGTTAAACAATTGTGTTTTCACAATATCTCTTTTTCAGACGCCGACAGAAACATGGTTTTCGCGCGAATACGTAGAAGTRTCAAGACATTTATTCGGAAATTTGGCCTATTGGCTGGAATAGCAYTCCTGTTGATTGCACTAGTAATGGTATTTGGTAATGCATTTACAGTTATGACAAATAGACGACTTAGGAGACCAAGGACCATCTTAACGGCTGATCAAATATCATTTACAACAAGAAATGACGAGCCGAAGTTTCCCGAAATTGTTGACGACCGGAAGTTCGTCATCGAGAATTTAGAGACAAATTCACAGGCGAAAAGAGTCAAAGTTATAAGCATTGAAAATGAGGAAGGACGTCTAAAGATGAAAAAAACTCAAAAAGTACAGTTCCAAGAAATGGGAAAAGTTAACGTTCACGTGTGGGACAGCTTGTGTTCGTTCACCATTAATACTGTGAGACAATTTCCTCTTTTTCCACTTCGACCGAAAGCAAAARCCAAGCTCCATGTTACAGATGAACTCAAGTCCAAATTAGATGGTTCCTGGTTAGCGCAAAGGGTTATGGGATATCTCCATCCACCTGTGTCTGGAAGTTATCAATTTGAGTTAAGCTCGTTCTTCATGGCTGAGTTGTGGTTAAGTATGGACGAAGATCCCGCGCGATCGGAGTTAATATCMAAAATAACTCGTAATAAATTGTATAACGTGTTCTTCTCCATCGGTGAAAACAGCCCTAAGTCGGCCCCAATCAAACTCAATAATGGTACTTCYTACTACTTCGAGATTATCCACGTGATCAATGACGTCAAGACTAAAGAAGATCACGTAAGACTATCGTGGAAGATGCCTGATTTTAATGATTTCACGAGTATTAATAACGAACACGTCTCGGCGTATCTTGTGGACGAAGATCGTATGTCTAGAAATGAATCTCAGTTTAAAATCAAACGTTCAAGAAGTATTTCTATCATTAAAGAAGATGATATGTCGAATGAGACCCAACATGGTTTTACCATGGAAGTCTTTAAAAGTATTATATCACAAACTGTTAATACATCGTCTTATCACCGGGATAATGTACAACATCTTCCTTATTGGGATCGAAATGACGTCAAACTGGCGATATACGAAGCCCCTTATGAACCAAGCTACACGCGCAAACGTGTTTTTAAACGTTACGAGGGAGTTTATAATACTCATTTTACGGACGTGTTTCCAAATGACGGGACTTCGCTGCGAAAAGAGGGATATAAAGACCCAACGGAGCGAGATGGAAATCCTCTGATTGATGAGAAAGAGGTCTTTGAAGTTCTTAAGACATTTCTGACTYTGTTGGACAGGAGATTTCCAAAGTAAGTAAACAGCTTTTTTCCAACAGAAAGAATAACATCCTCTTTGTCATGATTTTGTATATTAAATCATTCCTTAGTAGACGTCACTTCATTTGCATTTCATTTTCATTAAGTTTCAATTGCCCATAACTTAGAAAATACAATTTAAAATCAATTTCTTTCTTCACAAATGAACACAGCAGAATTTTTTCCTTTGGATGAGAATGAATTTCTAATGGTGTCATGAGCACTTTAACGAAGGGTGAATACCGTATCTCATCTTTAAGTAATGGATATAGTCAGTTTAAACTAAGATACACAGAACTTTACGCACACAAAAACCCGCAGTTTATTGAGAAAACTAGTTTCGTCTTACGACCTTATCAATTCAGTTTATTGAGAAAACTAGTTTCGTCTTACGACCTTATCAATTAAATAAACTGCGGGTTTTTGTGTGCGTAAAGGACTGAGTATCTTAGTTTAAAACTAGTTCCATTACTTCAAGATGAAATTTTCTAAGTCCTTTAATGTCAGAGCTATCAGTATTTCTAAAACCGTATAAATCCTTATCAAGCGATCAAAATTAGCCCGTACAAAATCTAAAGGAGTGGACAACTTTAACAGGTGGAATTTCTTCACCATTCGTGCAACTGGAGCCTGTAGTTTGATCCAGTTACATCAATTCACTTCTCCAAGTATTTTTACTAATCGTGATTTTTCTTACAGGAAGTACCTGCTAGAGGGTATTATCAACGTTGAACGCAACGTTGATAGCGAGAAAGGAGCACGCTATTTCCTAGAATTAGTTCTYCGTAATACCAAGGAAAATAWAGTGTACMGGATTGCAGAATACATGTATRAATTCAAAACGCAACCAAATAAACTTTTCCGCCCAAAAGGAATGGAATGGAATCCTGATGTCACTATCAACGTCATCTTGACCGTGAAGAAACAAGGGAATTGGGGAATAAACTTTATTGAGGAGATGTCACGTGTTCAAAAGAAAAATGATGATAAGAATTTGAATTTTATTATTGTGGACTATGGGGGTGATAATGTGGACATGGAGGAAGAGATTAAAGAGTAAGAAAATTAGCAATAGGCGGTGTGCAGCGATGTCAGTTTGTGCAGCAAAGCATTATGGTAGTCCTTACACTTTTACAGGCCGTTTTTCTGTTGTTGTTGTTTTTTGTCTTTTTTGGGTGTTGTTTTTTTGTTTTTGTTGTTGTTGTTTTTGGTTTTGGTTTTGGTTTTCTTCTTCTTCTTCTTTAGAAATGGGACAACTATTAGTGTACTCGCAAAGAAAAAAAAGGAAAAAACATCCAGGACGTTTTAGCGGGCATAAAAAAGTGCGAGGACTAAACTCCCATCATGCTTTGCTATACAAAATGGCGTCGTCAAGTCACTGCTTATTGATTTCTATATTCTTAGTTATTATTGTTTTCTTGTTGAGCATTTTTCATTCTCTTTCCTAATTGTATATCAATTGATTGATTGTAGAAGTAGTCTTCAAAAGTTTACCGTCATTCATCGGAAGGGTGCATTCCACAAAACATCTTCTATCAACGAAGCAGTCAGTAAAATCACTGACYCAAATAGCATCGTGTTTTTGATGGATCTTCATCTCGGAATACCCGATAACATCTTCGATAGCATCAGAAAGGTACTTCAATCAATCAATAAACAACTATTAAAGGGACATGGTCCACCAGCATCCCTTTCGAGCTTTTTGTTTGTTTATGTTTGAAAATAGAAATACATCGTAGTATAAGCAAAAACTTACTCTTTATTATTCCTTTATCCTATATGAATGGATAAGATCCGACCGTTAAACCGATGGATGGAAACGGATTGCAAATGGATATTCGAAGTCACCTCATTTTCCATATATGAAAAATCTAAAACACGACCGCATTGCATGCTAGTGGACCAAGTCCCTTTAATATTTAGGCCCCGTTCACTCAAGAACCTTTACATTTTTGGTCAGTTTGGGCGCGCTTTCGCACTGGATGTCATAGACTGTACTCATTTCAGGGTTTGCGCTACTACTTGAAATCCTTGAAAAGCCCTTGAAAATTGGAAAAATCACAAAAACTCCGGGAAAACTCCTTGAATCTGATGAAATTGAATTGTTTTTAGATCAAAATGTGGCTAATTTTTTTTAAATCGCCACTAGAAACGTTCGCAAATATCTTGAAAAATAGTTCCTGGAAAATCGCATTTTTGTGCTTAAAAAGTACTTGAAAAGACCTGGAATGTTTTGGTAAAAAAATAGCACAAACCTTGTCACTTGTGAACAGAGAGATCCTGGTGAGCAAYAAGAATTTTCCTAAAACTTAGATGTCCCCATACTTTACCATCCCTGTGTAGTCTTAATCTGACTGTCCTAATGTTCAATTACTATTTTGTCAGCATACCATTCAAGGTCTCATGTCATTTACTCCTGTTGTTTTTCGTCTTCAATTCTGYGGTCGTCCTGGAACATGGAATACCTATGGAAGTGGTTGGTGGGAAACTAGTGGATATGGTTTATACAGTAAGGACTGATATAAGACACCTTTCCCTTCCTCTTTGCCTTACTCTTACTAAGACACCTTTCCCTT